TTTTAGAGTGGCATACTTCCCCCAGTCCTCTTGTGGAGACATAATCCAGTGATTGTAAAATAAAATAAATGAACTGACATGTAGATATTATTCCTCCTCTGGTTTTGCATGTAATATTAATAGTAAGGGCTGGAGACATCTAAATCACAGAAGACATGAGTCCACTAAACAAAGACTTTTGCATGTTTAAAAGTGTATTTCTAGAAATTCTGGATTTGCTTCTTTCCTTCCACCACTGCTTTTTTGTTTTGGTTTGTTTTTTTTTGTTTGTTTGTTTTGGAGAGGGGGTTGTTTGAGGGTTTTATTTCTTAGATAAACAAACTGTCACATGAGTTCAGAGGAACATCAAAAGTCATGTCTGTGACGCATTCCAAGGGACTCAGCACAGCTGGAAGTGCTACAGCATCCCTGAAACCATCTCTGCACCCAAAGCACTGAGGTCAACATTTCCAAAGCTAACATCCTCATTTCAGGTCTCCCATATGACTGCAATTCCTGCTGTCTGCAGCTGGTCTTACCAAGGTAAGCAACCTAATCTCACACGTAATGTCACTCTATGTGTCTCACTACACTGTCACTCCCACCATGGGACAGCAGGCACCTCTGGCTGGCAGGCATTGCTGCAGTTTTCCAGTACTAAAATCCAGATAATCCAAGGTACTTAAAGACGCTGCTTGTAAACTCCAACTACACTTAACACCTACTCTGCTGTGTGCTTGTAAAAACAGCATTACCTCAGGAAGGTTTCACTGCATGAGCACCGAGGCATTTCGATTTTTTACAATGTCAGTGAAACAGTGGGGAACTATGATCAATGCTTGACAGCCTGGGTAATTCAAATGCAAATGAATAAATTCTGTCAGTCATGGGAGAAAGTCAATTAAATAAAGACATCTCCCATGACATAGGCAATTAAGTGGTCTGCTTTTCTGTGCAAAGATTTTCCTTAATTTCCTGTGCCTTGTTGAGCCAGTCTTGGCCTTCCTGCCTAAGCTAGAAGCCCAGGTGTCACAGCTCTCACAAGTGCCTCTGTATCCCTTGTCCTTGTACTGAGGAGGAGGAGGGCAAGCCGATGGGCGAACTCAAATTTCCTTTTTTCTGGGATGAGCTGAGCAGCAGCTGAAGAAACCCACTGCTTCAACAGTGCAGAGCAGCAGGGCAGACAAATGTCCTTTCCCTGCCAACGTAATTTACAGTCTTTCTAAAACACACAAACAGCATGCACACACATGGAACGCTTGCTTCTTTGCTCTTGTATACTCAGCCGTGGCGCCTTATCACTCATGGAAGGTGGCTGTAAGCACACCACATGCCTTAACCTTTTCCTGGCTGCTCTGCAAATTTGACACACTCCCAGGAAAACAGGTATCACCTGACAGCTCCCACTGCCCCTGCAAAAGCAGTCAGACAGATACAAGCACTGTGCAGCCACAGGAGTGGTACCACGGGAAATACATTTCTAATATTGTTAACTCTTTTTTGCCCTTTCTTGCACACTGTCTGAAATAATTTACCTTTAATTTCTGATTGTACACAGAGCCAAACTAAGCACCCTTTGGCTAGGCCCTTCCTGCTCAAACCTGTGCAGGTGTGCTCTTCTGTGTCCATTTGTACACTTGCAGGCTGGGAGGCTCCCACTGCACAAATGCTGAGATCAGCAGTTTGTCCCTCTATTTCTCCTCAAGAACTTTGCAAGTGAATAGTCAATGCTCTAGAGAACCCCTCGGTCTCGGTGGGTCAAACCACTGAGCAGCTTTTGGTGCTCTGTGCTGGAGGCTGGCACTTAGCAGAGTGCAATCGCTGGCAGATGACAGATTCCTAACACAGGGGAAAGTGGAAATGGAAAGAATAAAAGTATACCTCAGGAAGGTACACTCTTGCATCCATTATATAGGATGTGCAAAAACCTATTAAAACTGGGCCCCTCGTTTCCAGAAGATGATCCAAAGCAGCTGAGACAATTTGTACCGTTGTCATAAACATGCAGCATAGAAGTGTTTCATCACTCTCACATGCTCTATCTGCCCATCACACCTACACCCCGCCTTTCATCTTGTGTCTCTGGAAATGACCCTCTTGTAACCCACTCCAACGCTTTTCTTTATGCAGCAGATTTCTGACCCCTGCTATGCCAGGTCTCTCTAGGCATCACAATGATACCTTCAGTGATGCCAGCAGTTGTCCCCACTTATTTTTGTCAGTAGAAGGACACTGGAATCAAGAGGGTTTTATTATAATTTTTTGCAGAAGATGAATTATGGACAAAAGTTCTGTAGTACATTGACAAGTCCCACTTTCTTTGGATACAGTGCCATGTGATGCTATTCACAGCAGATGGTTTAGAAGATTTTTTCCTTTCCCATGGTCTATGGCTTCAATTCATGAGAACAGGGACGTTCACATGCCTCATATGAGTATCTCAGGTAGGGTTCACATCCCTGTGCATTAGCCAGCTCAAATACAGGCATGTAATCTGTGCTAAACAGCAAGGCTTCCTCTATATCCAAGGAGCGAGATAGGTATCTTGATGTAGTGATTTATCCTGTCTCTTTTGGAGGCATCTCTTTCCAGGGACTAGGACACCTTGCTGACTGTCTTGGAATGGCTTCTCACCTCAGACAGCAAAAGCCAAGTGAGATGAGCTGTGCCTGAGCAGTGTTACCTGCTGGACTACTGAGACTTCATGTTACCCGGTCTCGCCACCACACCCCTTTCTTCTGCAGGTGTTTCCCTTTGTGCAATGTCACATCTGTCCTCAGAAATGGTTGTCTATGAAACCATCTCACATGTCAGGCTCTGCATCTCCCTACGGAGATGGGGCTACAGCAGAGTGTTGGGCTGACAGACCCTCCACAGTCCCAGACAGGCATCACCATGGTGGTCACATTCAACTGACATCTTGGAAGTTTTCCCTTTACATTTTATGGCTATTTTCCAAGTGATTCTGACATGATTAATACTGGGGTCTGCAGTTCACAGTGACAATTTTAAGAAAATAGGCTAATGGGCTGTGAGCTGACAAACTACAGACTATTATTTTCTAACAAAATTATCCCAGCACTGCTGTTAACTTACCAAAACAGAAACTTCAGCAAATCTAACAGATAAGGGACAATTGTGTTTCAATGCACAGCGGTTTAGATTCATAGATCTAACAAAGTTAAAAGTTTCATTATTATCTCCTTCTGCAGTGGATCACAGATACATTAGAAGAGGGTAAAATGATCCCTTGGAAATGGGAACATTGAAAAGTGTGGTAATATTTGATAACCAGTAAAGCATGATGGTTAACAGGTTTTAGACAAAGCTGAAGTTCAGAATTTAAAGTCACCAAAGCCCAAGCTTGGCACAGCTGCTGTTTTCTGTTCTGTTCTTTCACTTCAGGCAAAAAGTGCTATTGATGTGTTACTCAGTAAAAGCATTTGCAACGTTTATCTTATGCGGCACGTGATCAGATAGCAACAATCTCTCTATAACATAATCTTCTTTACAATGCATTTTTCCTTTTCTTACACCCCTTAAAAATGGAAAGATGAATTTCCTGGAGAAATACTTCTTGTTTTCCGAATATTTTCTTCAGAGTAGTCAGGTGGGATCCAGCCACCACATTAAACTCAGGAAAAAGTGTAGGTGGTCCTTTACTAGGGAGTTTGTGCAGTTTTCCTATTTTCCCAACACTTTTTGAGCACATTGCTTTAAGACTTTTATCCACATATAGGTCTGTTTGCCATCTGCTATTGGGACAAGCAGTGCTATTTTTATACGTATCCCAACATGGAATTGACAAACATATTGACTGTTCTGTTTCTGAAACTCTAAGGAGTCATCTGCTTTCTTGGAGATTGCATACAGTATATTGAAATATGTGCATAAATCACACTGAAATCTGAAAAAAGTAGTCTGATGTTTTCAAGCAGGTTAGGAAGACAGACACAGAGTAGCATGCAAGGGACTACTCAAAGTAAACCTAGTTTCACTTACTTGTGAACAAGGATGCAGTCCCCAGGTCTTTTTTGAGCAAAACAAAACTGAGATAATTTTTCACTCAGTTATTTGGTGCCACTTCGGCATGGTGACAATGTGCTCCTTAATCTCTTTCTTAAGTACCCAAATTAGAAGCAAAATATCCTGTCTTTTCTGATGTACATAAGAGTTTCCATAAAAGCCAATGCCTGATACTTACAACCTTTCCAGAAAGGTAGGTTCCATTCTTCCAAATAACCTTCAAATGGAAATGCCTTTTGAATTTAAATCTGAATGCTCTGAGATAGTTTTCAAAGCCTCACAGAAATCGAAAATAGGGCTGGCTTATTAGAAGCATATAATTTGTTAAAGTCAAAGTTGTTTTAACATATTCTAAAATAGCATATTTACTGCACATTATTTTTTATCAAACTATTGGAAGATGAAGTTTCTGAACATCAGCACAGACCAGTTTTGATTGGAAAAGGGGCAAACAGTTTAATGAAGGGAAATACACCGGCTATCACAAACTGAGATTCCTGGCATCCTCATTTTAATATTTGAAAAATATTTTATGAAATATTGCCTCACCTATAATTAGCCTTAAGGAAGCAAACCACTAGAAAGAATTGATTTTCACTGCACTTTAAATTGCTGCTCCAATGCCTTCACATTTGATGAAATATGGATCAATTATCTTTTTGGCAAATATGAACATGCTACCTTTTAGCAGAGCTTCATTAACAGCACTTTCTCTCTCTGGTCTTTAGCTTGATCTGCTCGTTTCTATTTGAATTAATGTAGACTATTAGCTAAATTGCACAAACATTTATTTTAGCCTAGAAAAAGTTCCTGTGTTCAGTCTGCATCCTCTTCAAGTTCTGTGCTAACAAACACCAGAAATTACCTGAGGTGGTTCTTTTTCCCTCATTACATTAAAAATAGACTCGTTACCTGAAAATACACTTTGTAGTCGTGCATTTTATGGAGTTATAATTATGCAGGCTTCTTTTCAAGGTGACAGCAGCCAAGCTTACCTGTCAGCTGAGAGAGCAGTGAGAGTAAAGACTGACACCCCTACAGAGGTGAGCTGTATGAAGGGGATAAGTTTGCATCCAGTTCTGCCGAACAGCCACTCGTCAGCAAGGTACCTGCTGGCATCCACGGGCACACAAGTCACTAGAAGCAGCAGGTCTCCCAGAGCCAAACTGGAGATGAACAAATTAGGGACATTTCTCATTGATTTAACAGTACAGAAGATCTTAATCAAAGTGATATTGCCAATAAGGCCTATCAAAATGATTATCCCATAGATTGTGGGGATGGCATAGAGGAATGCTGGGTAGAACCAGTCGTCGCCGAGGAGGGAGAAGTTTGCACTCTGGTTGACAGAGAAGTTGTAGAGAATGAAGTTATCTGTTTCTAGGTCTAGCAGAAAGCACTCTCCAGATGCCATTGTCCTACTTTGCTCTTCTCGGAAGACAGTTTTCCTCTTTGAAAGTCCTCACATAAATTTCTCGCTTTAATTTTGCTGCTGCTTGCTGGCTTTAAGCAGTCAGAAGAGCTTAAAAGTCATATCACTTTGTGAGACATCTTGATAATAACCAAACTGAAAAGCACCTGCAGCTTGCTCCACAGTCCTGTTTCCGTAAGATGAAAGGAGAACATCTTTTAGCATAGTTTGAATCCTGAAATTTGCTTTTCCCTCCAAGACTTGTCTTGCTGATGTGTATTCCTCAGCTCTGGAAGGCCAATTATCAAATTCACAGACCAGCAAGTGGCAGGCATTTTCAAAAACGGGGCTTGCTAAACTCCCAGCTTCAGGTCTGCCGAGCAGCTCCGAGTCCGAAACAAGGGAGTTACAGAAAGCACGAACTTTCGGGAGTTGCTGCCACGCTGCATTGCCAACCTCTCTCGCTTTCAGTGCCTGCCCCCGCCAGCTGGATTTAAAGTGAGGGGAAAAGCGAGGCTCGGCTGGCGGCTCGGATCCTATAGGCAGGATCTTCTGGACGTCAGTCCTTGCGCTGCTTCCTTCCCACGGTGCGCGCGGGCTGCTCCCGGCGCGGCGGGAGCGCCGGGAAGCGCCGGGAAGCGCCGGCCGCCTGCTGGATGCTCCCGGCACTGCTGCGCGGGGTGTGGAACAGCACCCCCCCCTTAACTCTTTAGGTGAAAAAATACACGTCTGTTCACTTACAGCTCCAGAACAAACCCCCAAACAAAAACCAACCAAACATAAAACCAAAATACCCTCCACTCCCCCCAGTTAATGTCACTTTGCAAATAGATCACAATAGCCATCCCACCTTCTCAAGTAAGAGCACACATAGTTTCCTCACACTCGGGTATTCAATTGTTCCAATGAAAAAGATCGATGATATGAAGGCAAATTCACCTTCCCCGGACCTCCAAGCAAAAGAAATTAATAAAACCAATTAAGATAAAATAAACATTGTTGTTAAGGGAGGCAAATGAATATTAGCAGTGTGTGCCTGAAGTTAACCAGGGAAGCCTGAACTCTGCACATTTTTTGTTAATTTTTATAATTTGGAGGTAACAACACCAAGGCATGAAGTTTGCCATTCAACATGATCATTTCTATATATGAGATACCCACTATACTGGCATCTATAGGTAATACATGTTTAGACAGCAGAGAGAAAGTTGCTTGGCTTATAAGAGCCTGAAATAACTCCTTCTTAGAACTTAATTAAGATATAGCTATTACTGATGTCTTATTGTTTTATAACAGGCTATTTATGAATATATACGAGGACTTTCTGAACGGCAGAGAAATATAGTTAATTTGGAAACCAGCCTGCAGAATTAAATGAAGCTGTAATTTACATTTCCCCTTACAACTGCTCATTTTTGCAGGCAAAAGAATGTTTTAGCAACTGCTAGAGTTACTTTGAAGTCAAGGGCGAGGCGATTCAAACCAGGCATTAAAGTGTGATCACTGGTTTCTGCATAAAAGAAGCATTTCAGGACACAATCTGGAAAATATCCTGGGGTTTGGGAGCCATGTCCCAGGGTGGGATTCAGAGCAGGAGACTTCAATAGCTGTTTTTCTCCCTCATTCTTGTGACCTGGGTCAGTGTTTTCAGCTGCTTTGCTGCTGTTCACTCTAAGTCAACAAGGGACTTATGTGTACCCTTAACTTTAAGTAGGGCTACTTATGTTTTTTTCCAAGCCAAACACCCATGACAGTGCTGTGCTGGGAACTTGAGGGTACAGAGGAGAAGTCAAATTTTCTGGTATGCCTTTCAGACAGAAACGTGCTTTTAAAAATAGGCTGGAGTTTGCCACTGTTAGAAGCAGGGGACGTGGAGCTACTGTGCACAGTCTGATCAGGGCGCACAGGCAGTTCTGCGGGTCAGGGCCAGCTCCGTGCAAGGTTGCCAGGTTGGGTGGATGCCATTTGGAGGCAATGCCATGTTTAACACAGCAGGACGTACCAAAGGCACAGAGGGGAACTGTGGAGCTACTGAAGCAGCCCAGCCACACGGTGTGGTGGGACACCTCTCCTAGAACTTCCCCCAACACATTTGGGAGTCTGGTGATAGGGGCTGCATGACAAAGACAAACATGCTTCCCCATTCCCTCTCTCTTCCCTCTTTGCTTTCTGAGCTTTGAGAGGAAGTGGAAAGGACACCTCTGGAGTTGGTAGCAGCCACTTGGTGTAATCCCGATGAACCCCTGTGCCCAGCAGCCTGGTCAGCAGTTGACAGTGACCTACCCTGAGTAGGCAATGGGACTAGAGACTTCTTGTATCCCTTCCCATTCAAATGACTTGTTGACTCTGGGATTTGTAAACCCACCACTCAGAAATATAACATCTCTAGCTCTCATCATGAGCTTTTATTCTTCCGGGTGGACACTGCATTCATCAGTTTGCCAAAAATCTTCTAATAGAATCACTCAGTCACCACTCTTCACCATTTAAACTCTCCTACACTGAAATCTTTCTTACCTTTACATGACAAACTATGTGGGGTGAGCAAAGGAAGAAAAGAGAAGTGATGCTGGAAATCTTTCTTATCTTCCAGCAGACGGTGGTGTTGATCCCACTTCCTTCAAAGTGAGTGTAGGCACATCACCATGTCCCAGGTGTCCATCAGTGAAGGAAGAGACTCTCATGATCTCTGAGAGGATGCATTTCATTTTCAACTTTGCAAGGCCGATAGATTATTCTAGGAAGCACTTCAAGTCTACAGTTACAGCTTTCTAATTTTTGGTTTTGACAAACCCAGGCTTCAGGTTTAGGACAAACTCTTTTGAGCACAGAGAATGACAAACTGAAAAGACAAAGGCAGAAGAGGGAAAAAACCCCAGAACCTAAACCAACAAAAACAGATCCTCTAATGCTTGAAACTTAGTTCAGATTATAAAAATCATTCATTATTTATGTCAGATGTAAATAGACTGTTTCAGGGAAGATGACAAAATGAAGGACGCAGGTTTTATTCACCATTGCCCAGTCTGCAGATGTTCCCCAGAAGTAACTGAAAAATGCTGAGGATGTTTCCCAGACATGCTTTTGTCTTGTCATAAATTGCATTTGAGAGGTTTTGTTTATTATAAATGGTGTACCTTTTCATTATGTCACTCTAGCATTTATCTTCCCTTAGCAGGCAAAATGTCTGGCTATTTGTATTCTCATATCCACCTCTGCTGTAGCGTTCATTTCAAGATCCCAATCCTCTCTCCAAAGGAAGGTGAGCATCAATACCCATATTTCATCATTGCAGTAACCTGCATGTATGCAAAAAAAAGAAGTAATTGTAGCACAAAGTTACTTAACTGGCTGTTGGCAGAGTTGTGAATAGAATAATGCAGCTCTCACAAGCCTGGTCCTGCACGATAATGGTTTTCTGCTGGACAATGAGAGATTCCACAGATACTTTCAATAGATGCCTTTTTCTTTTCATCTCCCAACCTTTATCCAACCTCCAAATGACAGCTGCAAAGAGACAACTTTCTTACTCCTTAATTGTGCGCAATGGGGGAGATTTGTAAAAGCTCGAAGGGTAAAATTTTCAAAAGCAGTTAAATCTATATGAAACATAATGGAATTGAGGCTCCTACATTGCTTATGAGCTCTCCACCCAGAAACAGAGACAGAGTTTCAAACAAACGCAGTTTGCATTGAGAAAAGTACATGAGGACGTGCTTTTCAAAGGCACTTGCACAGCTGCAGCTGCCACAGCCACAGCTACGGGAGGATTTTAAAGAGCATGAACAGCCAGTGTGATGATGTCTTTTGAAAGACACTGATAATTTTTTCTACCTATCTAAATGCACCACTTTGGAAAATCTAGTGCAACAGGGGGTCCTGAGCCCCTGTGAGGTTCCGTGGGAGAAGCTTTGACGATGAGAGCCAGAGGACACTGCTGCATCCACGTGCAGATCCTGAGTCTGGCCAAGGCTGGCACAGCTGCTGTCTTGGTGGGCAGGAGCACACCTGCTGCACCAGGGCAGTCAGCCCATGCAGCATCCTCTACACCAGGCACCTCCAGCACTCAGGGGATGTGGAGGTGATGGGAATCTTCTTCCAGAGAGCATGGCTTTTCACCAAGGGTGTCACGTTTGTTATCTTGCCACAGTAGGACTTTCCTTTGTAGCAGCCTCTTGCAGACCTCCTCCTCGGAGGTGGATAAACTTGCTTTCGCTGTCCAGTGTCAGGAGAGGTGTCCATGTGCTCAGGGTTCCGCTGTTTCCTGATAACTGGATTACCGGGGCCAGTGAACCAGGGATTACTCCCTGCTGAGTTTGTGGAGTGCAACATCTGCTGATTTACCGAATATTCTTCTTCTGCAAACTGTTCATCTCCCAGAGGGAACAAAGCAGTGTAAAGCATCCTGCCTATAATCTCTTCAAGCAAATTCTTCATTTTTATTGCTGTCACCCCTACGTGCTCATATCATGCTCTGTGTCTCAGTTCACCACTCTGTTTCAGTCACGAAAGTTAACAGAAACTGTTTACAAAAAGGTGATTTTCCAATCCAGTTCATTCCAGGGACCTGATTTACAGCAGAGCTTTACAGAGAGCAAATTCCATTAATTAATTTGATTTTTTTTTTTTTAAGCAGTGATCTGTACTAATACCTGCATGACTGGAGGTCAGAGGGGCTGGGGAGGGAACTGATTATAATGCACAGTGTAAAAGTCCCCTGAGTGGATATGATATGCTGGCTTCTTGCATGTGTAAAAAATGGAAATGAAGCATTGTCAGGTTTTCTCCTTCATCCTGCAGCCTTGCTGATGCACAGCCCGTACTGCAAATGAAGATGCAGGCCACACAATGTGAAGTGCTCCCACTGTGCCTTTGAAAATAACTTATTCATCCTAAATTAGACAACTCCTTCAGTGTGTTATTGAACTTCATAAATCCCCTATTCACTACCAGCATTTCATCATGACACACAGTAATCAAAAACTGACACAGCTGGAAGGGCTGTCTGAACTGCCTAACACCTTGGATGTGTGCTCATGGAGAAGGAAATGTTTGAAGGAGAGACCATGCAGATATATATATATATATACAGGAATCTTCTGCCACCCTCTAGGAGTAACACAGCCATAATGACACCTGAAAATGCAGTAAGTGAAAGAGTAAGGTTGTATGGTGGGCAAGTAGGAGCAAGGAACTAGCCTGTGCCTGGTAAATGTGGGATGAAAAGGGACTTGAGAATCAAGAGAGCTGCCTGCGTGAGATGCTTTCAAGAAAGGCACATTTGGAAAAGATGCACAGATAGTGTTGATGTGAGCCCAATGCAAGGAAAAGGATCTTGGCAGCAGCACTCTGAGGCAGCACACAATGCAATTTTTGAGAGCAACGAATGCTGTAGCAGGCAAGATATGGACATCTGGGCAAGAAACCTTAGCTATAAAAGAGGTAGGAAAAGCTACATTCCACATACTTTGTAGGACACACCTACAGACACCCCTACACCTTGCAAGATGGATAGACCTCGGGATGCAGGGACAGGAACAAGAAGAAAGCAAGACTGAGTAAAAAGT